AATGTTCAAATACTTTATAGTTTTCCTGGTCACGAACAGCCGAAGTGCTACTTACTCTTCGACATTTTAAAATTGTACCAATTATAGTTAACTACATTCTTTTATATGTAGGTACACATATTTAAAAGCAAATAAACATTACGAGATCTCCGAATCCAGCCGACAAACTCTTTTTGCAATGTAGGCTTTGACTATGATTTAATTTTACGTAAATTCTATCAATTGTGGATATCAACAAGACAACACACGTCCCCTCACCCGAGTAGAGTTCATCCATACTAGCTGGAACCGCTACGTTCTTCCAAAGTGCGTTTGCAGTGATCTTTTTTGCCACGTACCATCCGGCTTTGAAATGAGCTCCCCTCCACGGTGTTTCCCGAGCGCTATGACATGTCTTTCTTCTATCCTGCGGAGACTACTCAGTGGTAGGCAGTGACTTGGTTGTGCCCCTGGCATTGCTGACGTCCATGAGCGACAGTAATCACTTAACTTCAGGTGGGCTGTAACCTTGTCTGCTATTAAGTCCTTTAAAAAACCCTCATCTAACATCGCGTACATAAAACAACGGATATGCATGGCAAAAGTTGTCATATCGAGCATGAGAGAGAGATAGAAGATGTCGTGTTAGTATTTATACGTAGTAGTACGTTACGTTACGCCTTAGTATGTCTGTATGTATGTATTTATGTATGTATGTATGTATGTATGTATAGTTATTATACGTACACCGTACACAGATAATAAAATTAGATCACCGCGCTCTCGTGGAAGCGAACAAAAAATATAAACTAATCCATTCAAATATATAACGTAACAGATTAATGTAACTTTGACAGGCATCCTGATAATGAATGACAGCTTGACGTAAACATTGACATGTTAAAATAATCCTTGACAACAGACAGTAGATTTTTTTACCGATCACCACGAGTGAATAATTAATTATATCGCTCGAAGCCGACGTTTTGTGTTGTACTTACCGCCTTGTCAATGTAGCTAGCTATGTATCAAAATCAACTACATCATTACAAACTTGTATTAAGTCGTCGTGGCCTAAAAGATAAGATGTCCGGTGCATTCGTGTTGAGCGATGCACCGGTGTTCGAATCCCAGGCGGGTACTAATTTTTCTAATGAAATACGTACTTAACAAATGTACGCGATTGACTTCCACGGTGAAGGAATAACATCGTGTAATAAAAATCAAACCCGCAAATTTTAATTTGCTTAATTGGTGGTAGGACCTCTTGTGAGTCCGCGCGGGTAGGTACCACCACCCCGACTATTTCTGCCGTGAAGCAGTTATGCGTTTCGGTTTGAAGGGTGGGGCAGCCGTTGTAATTATACTAAGACCTTAGAACTTACATCTCAAGGTGGGTGGCGCATTTACGTCGTAAATGTCTATAGGCTCCAGTAACCACTTATCACCAGGTGGGCTGTGAGCTCGTCCACCCATCTAAGCAATAAAAAAAACTTACCTAAGTCCAGATACTTTTTTCCCTACCTATTCGCTGGTAGTCTAAGGGGCCATTCTAGCTACGTCTGGACGGGTAGGTGAGGTCACGGGTTCAATCTGAGAGAATTTGCTAACACCAGTCCTAGCAAGAGCAGTGCTTCATAATACAGTGACATTATGAATGCAGCCGCGAAATTTAAGACATGATCGAACTCCCACTCACATTAATTTTTAATAACAATAAATAGTTTTTTCAATCTTTTAAGAAAAGTTACTAACAGTATTACTGAAGGTAGGGAGACTTGTGAGTCCGCACGGGTAGGTGCCACCATCCCGCATATTTCTGCCACAAAGCGATAATGCATTCCGATTTGAAGCGTTGAGCAGCCGTTGTACTATAAAACTGAGACTTATTAATCAAGTCTCATAGTGGGGGTGGCATTAACATTGTTGATGTCCACGGGCTCCGATAACCAATTAACAACAATTGAGCTGTGAGCTAGATCACCGGTCTAAGCGAAAAAATAAAAACACATTTTTTACTGGTGGTAGGACCATTTGTGATTACTGGTGGTAGGACCATTTGTGATTACTGGTGGTAGGACCATTTGTGAGTCCGCGCGGGTAGGTACCACCGCCCTGCCTATTTCTGCCGTGAAGCAGTAATGCGTTTCGGTTTGAAGGGTGGGGCAGCCGTTTTAACTATACTGAGACTTTAGAGCTTGTATCTCAAGGTGGGTGGCGCGTCTACGTTGTAGATGTCTATGGGCTCCAGTAACCATTTACCACCAGGTGGGCTGTCAGCTCGTCCACCCATCTAAGCAATAAAAAAATTAAAAAAAAACATACCTTTGAAAGTATCAAGATGCTAATACGTCTATACCAATATTATAAAGAGGAAAGATTTGTTTGTTTGTCTGTATTGAATAGGCTCCGAAACGACTGAACCGATTTAAAAAATTCTTTCACTATTTGGAAGCTACACTATTTCCGGGTGACATAGGCTATCACATATTTTGAAAAAAATTTAGGGATTCTTACTAAAACTCCAACAATGTAACCCAAGGTGTAAAAACATTACCTAAAAGATTCTTTACATCGCGTGCCCTGCGAAAACTATTGATGATAGAATAAAATAATGTACTACGACTTTGTAGCACACATTATTATTTCCAAAAAGTGTCGCGACACATATCTCTAACTGTTATAGTTACGCCGCAATAAGTGTTCTTTTATTTTAAAAAATAAAACAATATCAAATATCGTTGAAATTTTTGTTAAAGACCCGAGCGAAGCCGGAGCGGGCTGCTAGTTTTAAATAAGTCTATCCTATTTTTAAATTAACCTAGCTAAATTTTATTCTCAAAACAAGCTTGTCATTTCTGCCCGAATCACTTCAGTCCGTCGGGGTCATGACCTTTTTGGCGGACGCAGACAGGACGACAGTAGAAATATATAAAAAAAACACCAATAAATTAACTCAAACGTTACAATAGTATATTTCAAAATTTAGACGATCTCAAACATTAATTCCCACGTTCAACGAAGCACACACAATACGCACGAGACCCAGATACTTCAACTATCAAAGTACAATGTGAAATGGCTATTGCAAAATTCAAAACAATCAAATAAAAAAACAACAATGGATTATCAAACTGTAGAATTTGTTCTCACCGTATATACCTTCACATGGGCGACCATAATGACTCTATGAAAACTGACAATCTGATAACAATTACAAAACAATCCAAAAAGTATTTTAAATTTAAAACGATTTAGCAATAACTATTTTTGAGAATGTTTTAATAACCAATGTCATCCATCCTTCGAACTGGAAAGCACGACTGCTTTGCAGCAGAAATAGGCCGGATGATGAAAACTATTTATTATACTAGTGCGGTATAATTACGTAACACCAAGAAATGTCAGTTGGTGACCACATTTTCCTTTTAAGTCACTTAAAGAACGCTATTGTCGATGCTCCGACGACTTGCTTAGACGGGACAACACCCACGGAAAGAATTGGGAGGTATTTTCTAAGTCACACGCACAGAAGGTCTATTCAAACAAGCTATGTTAAGTTTGAGTAGTTAATCATAAAGAAATTTTCATTTTCGGTCAATACTTGAATGTGTGTCAATAATAAACAAATAAATTTTTCGATTACACTATAAAAATCAACACTCATACAAATTTAACTTAATCATATTGCTGCACTAAACTTGTTTAAGATACTAAGTGCGGATGTAACTGGGTTGTATTTTGTTTGCCTTTCCCGAATCGCGGTCACAACTGTATGTCAAGCACGAAAATTATTGAATTCGTAACCAAAATTTATCGAGTCTTCGATACGAAAACGGATCATTACATTAGATCAGTGATTCTCAACCTTTTTTTTTGTTGCTGCACATATTTAACGATTTCAAAATTTGGCGGCACACAAAAAAAAGATAAAAATTATTTACTTACTCCAACACACTGCATAAATAGTTTATCAAAAAATTTTAATATACGAAATAAACTAAAATATACTTTTTTTTTTTTTTGTGGATTAATATTCATGTTTAAAATATTTTTCTTTTAAAATGATATAATTTAATAATATTAACATTATTATATATTCGCAAAATTTGGCGGCACACTTTTGAAATTTGGCGGCACACAAAAGTGCCGCGGAACAGTGGTTGAGAATCACTGCATTAGATGGTAGTACTCGACAGCCAGCCTTCGAGATTCGCTTTACCGAATATCAAAACAATTTTCGTGCTCTCGATTATGAGTATAAATTTCATTGAAAAAGAACATTGGTTACACATTTATTCAAATCATGACTTATTAGATAAACAAAATACCTATTGAAAACGACAGGTAATGCCAATTGCTAATTCCATACAAAAGAAATTATTTGGCAAATCAAAAAATAAGTCGTTTCCAATATTTCATTTCGTCGTATGATACTAAAGCCTTACATAAATAAATATTCATACAGTTACTAAAAATTAGCATTATAAATTATGGAGTCATCTGATATTTATATAGTGCTAATGTTGTATTTTAAATAGTCTTTTTGTCTACTGCCTATAACTACTAGTATACCTATACTGCTGAATATATCCACGGGGTTGAGATTCAATTCCCATAATTTTTTTATTGCTTAAGTGGTGGATGATATCATGGCCCACCTGGTTAAGTAGTTATCGGAGCCCATGGGTATCAGAAACGTAAATGCCGTCATCTACAACGGCAAGTGATAAAGCTATAATAATTATGTCAGTCACGACCATTTATGCAAAGAGTGTCAATAATCTATATTTTATATTTATTAAACATGATATAAATGGTCCATATACACAATACATTATTTAATTGCGATAAAATTTTAATAAAACAAATTCAGTGTATTTTATCCGCACATCAATCTTTCTTAAATCTATTCCGAACTTTCAATTTAGTTCAATTACAACTTTAAATCAGAAGCCTCAATAAAGTTTAAAAACATTATATCTGTTGTCGGTTTAATGGAACTTTTATAGCATGATGAAAAGAATAATGACCGAGAAAAGGAACAAAGGAATGAAACGCAATCATCATTAGTTGATCCTTAACAATGTAATGGCAAGTAGGACTGTGAGGAAAGTAAAGAGAAATAAAAAGGACGCGAACAACTCTGAAGACAGAGCCTCGAATACAACGATCACTAATCCAGACAAAAAAATGAAACTTAAAACAAAGACAACAATTAGTAACAAGAGTACAATGAATAAAATGGATAAACCGATAGCAGCCGATCATGCATCAGAATTCAATGTCACTAAACTCATAGCAGAACTATCGCAAAATTCGCGAGCGTCGAAAGGAGAAATAGAGAACATACAAAGGAAATTACTTCAGCAGGCAAACGAGATACTGAAAGTAAACGCGTTTGCTAATTCTCAACCAGTTCCGGAGATCCGTGTCATGGATAACACGCAAAAGTGCAACGCGAACAATCATGTTTACGGGCGAATACCTATTGTAACACCCAGAAACAAAATGAATCCCGGATCTAATCACTTAGTTCATAATGTTGGGCGTTTAATGAATACATCAGATAGTCGCCAGGACAATCAACTCGAGACACAACTAGTTCCCGAGAAGTTGCAAGAAATTCCCGCGCTCTCCTCGGCCAGCGTCGGTGGAATGATAAATAGTGACCATGGAAGTATGCAAAGGGTCGCTATGACGGCGGCGGAGGCGGGAAGAGCTTTTTTCTACAAAACGGGTTCCGCCGAGGCTCGCCAGCCGGCCAGTGCGCGCGCCGCTCCAACAAGAGGTGAATGTCTTGTTCCATTCTAAAATACATATTCCATGTTTGGTCGCGACCAATTAACCTTAGTATTTACTGTCACGTTTCGGTGAATCATTTACGCATTAAAGCCTTTCATTGTTTTTCTGCTACATTTTAATGTCTCAATGATTTGTGTTTTGTGAATGAGACGAAAGTCGAAAGCATCGGTGATGGCGATGACATCGTGATTGTAACGGTTATTGTACATCAAGTGGTTCATTCTGCGTCTCCACCGGCACTGGTATGTTCGTCCCATCTTTAGATTTATATTTATTAGGATCACGCGCACGTTTTAAATGCATACTAAATTCGGTGCCAATGTTATTTTTCTGTTGAACAAGCTTACGTGAAATCCGGTTCGAATTCTGTATTGTAACTGTTTAGTTTATACATAGATTAGCCGCATGTACGTCATTTAACCACACTATCGTGTAGAGTAGAGTCGACTTTTCTAAAACAGGGTAATGAATTTACATAGAATTAAATGCAACTAATGAATCTAATAGTAAATAATCATTTTAGAAGTATGTTTTTTTTAACAATGTGTCGTATTACCTCACATCGTAAATTTACTGATTCATTTTGTGTCAAAAATATGGCTATCAAACCAATTTATCTTAAAATAGTCTTGCAGGGTCATTACGTATATTTTTTGGCTTGTTTGGGTCAGACGATATAAAGAATCTTGTGTTGTAATATTTGTCGCTGAACGTAAATACGTGAATATCCTCATACACTTTACGGAATGAGGTATTGCTTAGGCCGTACCTCATGATTGGCTTCCAACAGAAATGTAACAAAAAAATTAAATATCAACAGTACTTAATGGTTTTAATATACAAAATGAATGTGACTTGTCTTTTTGTTCCTTTTATAAACTTCAGCAGATGGTTTATCCAATCAACCTAGAACTTTGTAAATTGTTTGCACTTTAAGGTTTTTGTCATTATACATAGTAACGCCAACGTACGATAGTTGACGAACCAATAAAAGTCAGTTCAACAAACAACAAAGCTTAACTTCACATCGGAGTATTCCAGGGGTTTATCCATCATAGATTCTGTCGCTGATCTAGAGGTCGGTAACCACGGGCACTAAGTTCGGGCACAATGGGTTTCAGTACCATTCCTATAAATGTCTTACATTCGGAGCATATACTTGTGCCAATCAAGGACGTCAGAAAATCATATGAACGGAGTAACTTTCAGGGGCACTTGAATTTAGAATTAATGAATTCCAAGAGCAGTTTGTCGCAATAAAAAGTCTTCATACTAAAACTTTCTCTCCTGCAACAACATCTAAGATAGTCCATGACCTCATATAGATAGATAAATACCATAATATAGATAGACCGTGTTATCCTCATAGTATTGTAATTTTAGCAACACACGTTGCGGAAAGTGCTTAACACGAGCGTATTGGTATTTTTTGTTAATAGTATTTTGTTTTCCATATCATATGTCCCATGGGGAGTATCTGAGATATTCTTCGAGATGATCCCTCTATCTTTTCTCTAGTACCACACCTATCGTTACCAAAGCCGAAAACATCTGTGATTCCAGAGACCACGCACCTCTTCACAGACAACTCTTTCGTTTGTCAGCATATAGGTTTACTATAAGGCTGTATGGGCTAATTTGCCTATTGACGAATTTAAAAACTATGGCACTCAGTTTTGGGATGTTATCAAATAAGTAATTTATTTTTTTGTAAAACAATTCCAGGGTGGAAGAAATGTTGATACATAAACTAAACAACATGAAACAGTAAGGCATAGTTTTTCAAGTACAAATAGTTTTGTCATGAAGTTGGTCCACTTTTGGGCATTGTCCTTTCCTAAAACCCCCTTATAACACGGTACTTCTACAACACGGTAACGAGTTTTTTGTTAAAAACTATTTAGAAAAAAATGGGGCGTACCCTATGAATATACAATATATGGGGATAGCCGAAATTTTACTGCTTATTTTTTATCTATAATAAATAGGCTGTGAAAGCTTTGTTAGCATAAAGCAAAAACAGTTCTAGCCCTCCTGTATGTTTATTTTGGATTAGTACTTATTATCTGGTTAAAGGTACTTTATATGTTTTTCCTTAAAGACTTGACAACGCGTCTGAAATTCCATGACGATTGTTTGAACAGAACAGACGCTAAGTCACTTTCTCATTCATAATAATAATATAATGGAAGCAAGATGCTAACGTTAAAATATTCTATAATATCTAAGATTACGACCCGGAAAAACCAAATAGCATAAATCAAACGAGTTAAATCTTGCAGTACTTAAAACTTAGTAAGCGCATAAAGAGCTTCTCTACTAAATTATTCTAAAAGGCAATAAATAACCCATCAATATACTAGACGAATGTCTGAGAGCATCGATTTATTAATCCGAATGTTTTTATATGGCGAATGGATTTAATGTTTTTTATTGTCTTTGTAGACAGATGAATTTATGGTCTACCTAATTGTAAATAGTCACAGTCGCTCAAACTGGTCATCAATACCTACCAGGGATTAGAGCCAAGCCTCTGGCTACTGTTTAGGATTCTCCTGAAATTTTGTTTAAGGAAGGACATGTCATAACGCTCGAGGAGCATTTTTTTTATTGCTTAGATGGGTGGACTAACTCACAGCCCACCTGGTGTTAAGTGGTTACTGGAGCCCATAGACATCTACAACGTAAATGCGCCACCAACCTTGAGATATAAGTTCTAAGGTTTCAGTATAGTTACAACGGCTGCCCCACCCTTCAAACTGAAACGCATTACTGCTTCACGGCAGAAATAGGCAGTGTGGTGGTACCTACCCGTGCGAACTCACAAGAAGGACTCATAAGAAGTCCTACCACCAGTAATTACGCAAATTATAATTTTGCGGGTTTCATTTTTATTACACGGTGTTATTCCTTCACCGTGAAAGTCAATCGTGAACATTTGTTGAGTACGTATTTCATTAGAAAAATTGGTACCCGCCTGCGGGATTCGAACACCGGTGCATCGCTTCAACACGAATGCACCGGACGTCTTATCCGTTAGGCCACGACGACTACAAACGGCTGCCCCACCCTTCAAACTGAAACGCATTACTGCTTCACGGCAGAAATAGGCAAGGTGGTGGTACCTACCCGCGCGGACTCACAAGAGGTCCTACCACCAGTAACATTATAGAAGGATTACGCCTGTATTAAAGATTCGTGTTCGAATTCGAATGTTCAAATTTGTTTGGAAAACTAGAAAGTGCACAACGTTCGGCATGTTTGTATTATGATTACACTTTGAGTTTTACGATTGACTGCTCGTGTCTACATAACAAATAGTACTGTTTCTAGTAAAACCTTACATTTGATTGTCTAGATCTACGTTATGTAGTTACATAACTAAGTGCCAATAACGGAGGTAGAGAAAGTAAATATTCAATAATATGAAAGGTTAATTTGGAATCTCTGGTTTTACTTCTGGCATTTCGGTTTTGTGCTGTTACCAGCACTACTCTGAAGGTTTGTTTTAAGTTGGTCGTCTGCTTCTAACTATCTACCCAGTCGTGGTAGGGGCAGAACTCATCCAGAATTACTTAATATCTAGAATTACTCAGCTTATCGGCACCCCAGAATCTTAAAAGCAATATTTTTGCTACCATCCTACTCTGGAAAGAACTTCCACGATATTTTCAGAACACCGCGATGTATTTTTGCTTATCAAAGCAGGTTTGATAAGGAGTTTTTTGATAATATATACTAACATACACTCACCAACCGATAGACTCATTTGTTTTAAAATGTTATTAAAAAAAAAAAAAAAATTTCGAAAAGTTAAAAGCGCTCATTTCGCGTGAGCCTTTTTTCATTGTTAATCATATAACACATTTCTAAGCGAATTGATACCAGTACAAAACAGTTATAATTAAAAATTATTAGTCAGAGTCCACATATCTGTTTTATAAAAAACCTTTCTAAGCTATCTCGTATTTAATTCATTCAAACTGCCACAATAAAAAAAATGAATGTCAAATTCTACATACGATCGGTTATCATACTTTTAAAGTTGACCTTGGAGTGCACGAGGAGACTGTCAAAGTGACCTGTCACGCGTGACAGGTCTACCTATTGTTCGTACAAGCACAGTAGGGTTTCTTTTCTAAGGAACATGACAAATAAAATAAAAAAATAATAGCACTGAATTAATAATCGTATTTAGAACAGCGCTTATAGAATTCAAAGCGATACTGTTATTATCTGTACAATATGTTATTATCTGTATAGTAATACGTGAAACAAAAACTTTGTATCCCTTTTTACGAAAATTGCGCGAACGGCGGAGTATGAAATTTTCCACACTTATAGAGAATAAAGAGAAAAAGTGCACAATACTAATATTTTTTGAAAATAATGCTTAAAAGATACATTAAATCAATAAAGAAAACATTACACACACTACATACCATGTATTTGACGCACACACGCTTGCATACTATCTATTGTCAAACTTTTGTTCTTGACGTCTGTTGTCAAATTGAGAATAGATCAAATATTGTTTGTCTTTGTTAATATTTTTTATAGTGTAGTCTTGGCGAAATTTGTGGTTATAGAAGTATAAAATACAATCATAATAGTGTACAAACTTACAATTCCAATTAATTATAGTCGAATTTCGACTACTGCGGGACCTCTTGTCTGTATAGTAATACGTGAAGCAAAAACTTAGTCCCGTTTTTACGAAAATGGCGCGGACGGAGAAGTATGGAATTGCACACACTTATAGAGATTATAGGTAAGGAGTGCACAATGTTAATATTTTTTTTAATATTTATTAGCTATGAACAAACTTGAATTTTAACAAGATATTAAAAAAATTTGGAGAATACATAGTTCTTTTTTCCCGCTTTTATAAGAAAAATAAAATAAAAGAAAAATTTTGTATAGAAAATACTAACACCTAATGTGAATTTCTCGCCGGATCTTTTCAATGGGTCGCGTTTCCGATCC